ACAGGTAATATTACCAACTAATGGTTAGTAACCACTGCCTACTAGATACTAGCTTTCGTTTATATCAATATAAGACAATATTAAAATATAATTTATGTGTTATTTTCATAAATTCATTATTATGAATTCAAATTAGATTTTTATTATTAGTTGTTATTAGATGATACTACATAGTACCTACTACCTACAGTATAGAGTACCTTGTCTCTAAGTAATTTTATATTTCCGTGACTGTGTAATTATGGAAATAATTAAATCCACTCAATGAAATGACAAAATTTGTTTTAAAGATTTTACTTACGTACGTCAAAAAGATAGTAAATTGTTTATTAGATGGAGATTTTCAAAATATAGTTCGTTTAAGTGTCCAGCTATTTTATGCGCAATATGATATTTTATATTCGTAATATTGTTCATTGTTATCATAATAATTATTTTTATTTTTACGTAATCTAACTGTGTGATCGAGATGATATTATAATAGTTAGGCCAATAGAACGTGCAGGCAATGACTGGTTGTTTTTGGAATGAAATAAACTGGAAATAATATAAATAATATACATTCAGTCGTCGCCGCCAGCGGCATGTCATGACAATTGTTATTTTTCTACAAAGCCTTTAACACGTGTAGAACTCAAAATGTAGCTGTCAACCATTGATTTATATATGGCGTTAAATACGACTGTTGAGAGCGTTACACTTACGTAAATTAATATATCGGGCACGGAGAATAGCTGGTCGCACACACACACACATCATCACCGTTGTAATTATTGTTTTATTTTTGTATGTTCTTATTTCTGTCCCGTGTGAATTATATAATATGTAGATATCCCCGTTATCGTATGCGGCCGCACCGGCTACGCGGATATTAATTAACACGGCCGCCGCGACTTTTTGTCTCGCATCGTACGTAGTCGCGTTAACACGGCGTGTGCCAAAATATTTTATTATATAATAATTTCATCTCAAAATAGTGAAAATTTGGTTTTATTATAATCATTAGCGCCAGAAGGGCCTACTTATTATATTGTGATACAAATTAAATTATTATACCTTTGTGTCGGCGCGAATCGCCTATTTTATTACATTTGTGTGTTAATACCATTTTGCGCGTTTTTGTGTTTATGTTATTATTGTATAGTTAGGCGGTAAACGGAAAAAAAGTCCCCGGAAAAAAACCCCCGGTAAAAAAGTCCCCGGAAAAAAGTCCCCGATAATAAAATCATACGAAAAAACATGATTGTACGTAATTATTACATTTATCAA